AGACTAAGCAAGTAAGTATTCAATTACTTCCCCCACTGAGGTCTGTACACCTTTCTTACAGTTTTTCTGTATGACACTTTCATAACCATATTTAGCTTTCTCCTACCATCTCCCTGTAATTCACAAGGCAGTTTAGACTTCCATATGGTTGCCATTGGAGCTAACAGATGTCTAACAAATTAAAGCAAAAATTATGCCTTATAAACTGCTGATGTATCATCATTCGAGAACATCTTAAAATTTATAGTGAATCATAAGATAAGGCTTCCTACCTGATGCCCCCCAAGGTTCCTTAAATCTCTCTCCTCCCTGAATTTAAGCCCTGTGGAAACAAATTAGGTACAACATTCTGCCATCAACCCAGGATAAACCTCCACTTAAAGACATAATGTAGTATTTGCAAGCACATCAAAGAGAATTTGGCCTCAAGTACCCAAGGCTGTTCTAATCCTTGTATAACAAAGAGAAGAGAAAAATGAATCACTTGGTTCTTCCAAATCATTCAAAGCTTCCACTGATCCATGAGACTTTTTTCTAACAAGTATGATTAAATCTACAAAATCCATTAGCCTCATCCCTTTTGATCCAAAGAGTATCATTATTACCTGGTACTAATGATGCCAACACACCACCAGGCTAAGGTGTTCTAGAAATTGTGCCCTGGCTGGTATGGCTCAGTGGACTGAGTGGTGGCCTACAAACCAAAGGGTTGCCGGTTTGATTCCCAGTCCCGTGCACATGCGTTTGGGTTGTGGGGCCTGGTTCCCAGTAGGAGGCATGTGAGAGGCAATCACACATTGATGTTTCTCTCCCTCTCATTCTCCTTCCCTTCCCCTCTCTAAAAATGAATATATAAAATTTTTAAAAAAGGAAATTGTAAAGTCTATGATGGAACTAGTATGAAATCTGAGATAATAACAAATAATGATATTCACCTTTTAAATATTGAGATACCGTGCTTGGTAATACACTTTCTCATTCAATCCTTCGATCTATAGCTACATTAGATAATGTTATTGTTCCCTTATAAACAAGAATTTAAGGTTCAGTACAGCAGACTGCATTTTCCAAAGATGGCCACAACCCACACAACCTAAACAAATGTCCATCAAAAGATGGAATCCCTTTCTTCACCTTCTTAAATTGAGCAGGCTCTAATGCATGGTTTAACCAGTGAAACAGATGTAATTGACAGTTGGCCAGTTCCAGGTACAGTGTTCAATGGCTGGAGCTTCTTCCATCTCAGAGACAAGAAGAAGCCATGTGTAGATACTCCGGCCAAGGACCCTGGCTGAGCTCTCCACAGAAGCACTCCACCCCAGCTTAATCTTCAGATAGTTCCAGCCTTGGCCACATCTCACTGCAACCGCAGGAGAGGTCCCAAGGGCCAACTGCCCAGATGTCCCTGGTCAAATTACAGAACTGGGAGCTACTAACAATAAAGTTCAGTATTAAGCCACTAAGTTTTTGGGCTTTGTGTTATGCAGCAATAGATAGCAAGAATACTGAACTACTTTACTTGCCTAGGAAAAGCTCAGATTTACAGCCAGAATCCAAAAGGGTCCAGAGCAGAACATCTGTCAATGGTGGGTGATGGGATTTAGGGACACAGTACCCCAAAGACACAACTGTAAAACAATACTTCCTTTTTCTTCCCTCCCCCCTTCCTGTCCCCACACAGCCTCAGGGTTTTCTGAGAAATGTCACAGAATGGTGACACCCTCAATAATAGCAATTCCCTTCTGGCTTGAGTTCTTCCAATATAAAATAGGGATAATAAGATTTTTTCCCACCACCCTGTGATAACTAATGTGAAAGGAATCTGTACAAGATGTTGACTTTGTTACTCAGAATATCATTACCACTGTTATATAAAAGGAATCAGATTTTACACAAGAAACTCTAACTCTAATAATAAAAATATATTTAATGACTCAAAGGACTACATTTGAGATTCACAATGGGCACAGGGGAACATGCATTCTATACCAATTAATGAAGAAGACAAGAAGAAATTTTAAAAATATTTTTAATAAAGAATCTTTGAGGAAGAAATGAACTAATAAAATTGATCTTCAGACAAGTCTCAGTAAAAGATCTATAATTTAACAAACATCCCAATATATGTTACTTTCATTATATATCAGGACCCATCGCTAGAATTTTTCCCCCCAGTATATTGGAACTCAGTAGATTCATTATTTTTCAGAACCAGAAAGCCTTACAATTCATCCAATTCCTTCATTTTAACTGCTGAGAAACTGAGGATTGGGACAGTTGACTGAGCAGCAAGAAGTCAAACTATTCATTAGTAAGAGAACCAAACTCTTAGTGCCGATGGTACTATCTATATTTTCCATTTTTATTTTACCAGAATTTTACCTCCAAGTATCTTCCATGCATTTCAAATTTATTCTAGCATTTCACAGTGTGAACATGAAAGATCAGGAAACCATGCTCTGTGTTATTAACCTCTTCTTCATAACGGTATGAGCCAGGCCAAGCCTGCCCTTTCTGGAAGTCACAGGGAGAATGTTGACTCTGCAGAGGGCACAGGTGTGCAACTTTACAGACACAGGCTGCCAAGTTTCTGACCCCAGTTCTTCCGCCACTAACCTCTGAGTCTGGATTACTTTCATCATATATCATGGCTGCCTTCCTGTTGACCACCACCAGAGACCAGGGTACCGACAAACTGGGAGGTTTAAACATGGGGCAATTTTGAAGCGGCGAACAGGATGGGAGAGGTATGGGTGTATGGGAGGGCACGGCTATCTCAGTGGAAAACTTCAGGCAGAGAAAGGAGTGAGAGGATGAATTGAAAGCAGAGTAAAAGAAGGGTCCCTAAAATAAGAAGGGCATCTACAGAACTATTCTTCCTCGGGCATCACACTTAGTTCCAAAGCCTACATCTGCTTTCAGGCTTCCCATAAAATTTCCCCCAGAGAATGAAGACCTTCAAAATCAGATAAGACGTGGCTCTATCCTGGAACTGTCTGTGCAACCACTCTGCAACTCCTTGAATACATCCACAATTCCACGAGTTTTGCTACAACCTTATCCACAGAAACTGGTAAATTTGCCTCTGTACACTATATAAAATTATACCAAGCTGTCAGGGACACAAGCCCAAACCCCTTTATTTCTTTCTACCTCCTGCTATGAAGATGCAGAGAAAGTCCCTGGGTGCTTTCTGTTGCCTGGCAGCTAAAGTGTGCAACTTTTGGAAGCGTCCAAGTAGAATCCAAAGGACTGTGCTCACTAACCCAACACAGTCCAATCACAGTTCCGTAGTCCCTGACTCTCAACGTCAAGAAGTTTTGAGTTCAGATAAAAATCAAAATACCTCACTGAGAAATGTCACAACCCACCACTTTTAAACCCAGCAGGGGTGGTAAAAAGAAAAGAAGCAAAGAAAGAAAATAACTTCTTCCTCCTGTATCTGTAGCAGTGTTTATAGGAACAGGAGTGACTGCTAACAGAAACGTGTATAATTGCTGGCAAAAAAAAAAATCCTGCCTGTGAATGACTGCATATTATATTCATTTATGTGTCCCTCTCATTATCTTTATCATCCCTGAAGAGAGATGACATGCTGACACAGAAAGTGGTCCCCAATCCCTTCCATTTTCCTTGGCAAAACCTGTATGATCAATGCAAGATACTCCTATAGAAAACAGAAAATAAAAACAGCCTGGTAATTGTGTGGTAGAAAAAAAATATAAAGAGCTATATTGACAACTACTCTCATAATGTATATGTTTATGGCAAATTGCCAAAATTAAGGGGAATCAAAATAAATTCTGTGTTCAAAATGCTGTGAATTATTATTGATCCAGCTTTTGCGTTATCGTTTATCTCACAATGAACCTACACTGGAACAGCAACTTGTAGAACCCCCCAGACAGCCACCATCTTTACTTCCCATGGGGCGGGGGAGTGCCCGGTAAGAAAAAGGATGGGTTGGGATGGGATTGGATGGGATGAGATAGGGAGGAAAAATAACACGGTCTTTGAACCAGTTTCCCCTGGCCCTAGTGAACTCTTTGTCTAGTTGCTGAACACGTTTGTGAGATCAAGGAAAAGAATCCAAACAAAAGAGTAGGCGTCCCAGCTCAATTACAATAGGTGCCAAGCATATTGTAGAGCCAGCAGAGCATGGTTTGAATCTTGCGTTCAAGCATTTGCTCTCTAGCAGTGCCTCCAATAAAACATGTCTCGCACCCCTTCTCTTTTGCATTTCCCCCAAACAGCCCGCTCGATGTCACTCCTTTAAAAAGGACGAGAGGCACGGCCATATGGAAACAAATGTTGATGGTGTCTTCTCATTCTGACAGTAATATATTTAGAAATAAAGCCATCCACCTCACGCGCCCACTGTCCAGTCCATTACGCAAAAAGGAGCGCTTTCCAGCCGAAGGGGAAGAGCTTGCAGCAAGCGTTATTTACGTGTGCATTACAGAACCACACTCCGCCGCATCTGCATCCTACACAAAGCCCGAGATGGTGCAGGAAGATACACGCTGAGCAAGGCAAAGACCAGCCGCGGCAACACTGAGCCAAGCCCTCATCCAATCAGAGCCTGGTGAGAAGATGGACCTCGGGGTCGGCTCTGCCCGATTAGCCTTCCCTATTATGACACCACGCTCTGCCCAACATCCATTTCCCACCGAGAGCAAATTTAATTCGTGTGGTTGCTCATTTCCCAAACTGCCGAGACCTTTCTTTCATCTGCATCCCCTGGTCGTCCCTGAAAAAGCCACCCCGAGGCCTGGGTGCTCCCTCTCCGGCTCGGTTTTTCTTGTTACCTCTTCCCATTTCTCTAAAGGATGAAATGTTTCTCCAACACACAATCTGGAGAGGCTGAAGGCAAATGCCTCTCCAAGCTCCGGCACGTGCCCGAGGGGCTGCAAAAAGTAAAAACAGCAAACAACGCGGGGGGGAAATCTTCGCGAATCGATCCGCCACAATAGTTGAAATCCCAAAAAGCTCCAACTTACCCAAAATATGACATTGAAGCCAAATATGAAATATTTGATGCAACAACTGACTTCAGGACCCTTGTAGTGCTTCCCGGACATCCTCTGGGTTCATGAAGACACTTGTCCCGGCAGCCCGAGTTTGGAGCCCCGGAGCACTGGTGCTCGGAGCAGCCCGGCAGGAAGCAGGGGCTCGGAGACGCTGCTCGGGGGGCCGCGGCGTGGCGGCTCAAGCTGATCCACGCGGGGTCCGACCGGCGGAGAGCGGCTCCCGTACCTCCAGCCCCTGGCACCCCGAGGCCGCCGGAGCCGGGGTGGCCGCGAACAGGCAGGGAACCCGCGCGCTGCAAGCCCGGAGCCTTGTCGAAGCTGACCCCGAGCACCAGGCGAGCGCCCGCGTCCCTCGGCCAGGCGATCTCTCCGTCCGTAAGTCTACGGGCTTCAGGCAAACGCGGCCACGGCAGATGCTGGAGGGGACGCTACTCGCCTGCCCGCCGGCTGGAGCGCGCCCTCCCACTCCTCGCTCCGCCCGCCTCTCGCTCCACCCGCTTGGCGGGTCGCTGCTCCACCCGCGCAGCCCGCAGCTCCGCCCGCCGCCCGCTTCCCAAGCCTCACTGAGGCGCGAGCGCGCGCGCGCGCGCACGGGCTCGGGTGCTCGCGGGCAGCAGTGGCACCACGTAGCCGCACCGCCGCCTCCTTCCACCGCTCTCCACCCTCCCCTCCCTTTCCCCGCCCCTTCAGTGGTGGCTGAAACCCCTACGACCCCCAAGCGCTGCAACGCGTACTGGGGAAGACCGCAGGCAGAAGGAAGGAGGGAGGGTGCCCGGGCGCACGCCGCTTGGCAGCAGCCCGGCGGAGAGACGGCGATTGCTGAGCAGCGGGTCCCTATCCGTCACCCGCACCAACAGCAAACAGCTTCTGGACGCACGCGGGGGAGAAGGTCGTTGCGGGGCGAGAGGGCTGGGTGAGTAGGGATCCAGCAAAGCCCCAGCCCCAGGACAAACCGCGGTCGAGTGTTACTACACTCACGCCCTCTCTTTCATCACTAGGTTACCCTGCCGGAGAAGACTCCGCGCCCCTGAGCTTGATAGGAAAAGGGGGGTAGACTTCGCTGGGGACGAAAGGGGAAATGGGGGAAAGCAAATCGGGAGGGTTGCAAAGGAAAGTCTCTTGAATCCCACTGTGGCTCCAACCCAGCTCTCCTGCCTGCCAGAGAAATGAAGTTTATTCTGGAAGTAAAGACAAGGAAGGAGACACAGTCCAAAGGAATCCTAATCTGGATCACGACCCTCACTCCAGGATATGATGCAGCAACACAAACCCAAACAGTAAATGCACCCCGCTAGATGGAATAGTGTCCAAAGAACTTGACAGGTCCCTAATTCTTAAAAATCCAAAATGAGTTTCAGGATAGCCATCTGAGGAATCCGAACAGCGTTTCTAGATCATGAGCCATTATGCATTTGACCTCTGGAGAAAGATAAGAACGCACATCTGGAAATTGTTTTAGAACTCTAGCTGCGAAGGTGTTTCCTCTCTGCCCTCCTCCTGGGGCACTGCCATAGATGCTAGCCAGCAGGTACCAGTATGCCGTGCAAGAAAAATGAAGAGTCGCTCAGACTGTGTAAACATCAATGGGTATTTTTTTAAGGCTTCGCAAAGCTACAAAGGGGAGATGAGATCAGGAAACTTTGCCAGCACCGTCCCGTGTAACCTGGTACTGGGAACAGAAATCTCCATGTTTCCTAAGCTCCCCAGGTGATGCTTAAGTACGTTTAAGTTTGAGAACCTTCTGCAAAGTATTTCCCTAGATAAGCACCTCTCGCTTTTCTCAAAAACTGTCTAGCTAGTTGACAACCTACGGTCTAGCTTTGGAGGGACAAGATGTTACTTTTCTTGCAATAAACCACACTTTGAAATAGGTTTGACCTTGAAAGGGATTGATACTAAGTATATTGAGGTCACAGGGAGGAGCCAGGATAGTAACAAAGGTGGGAAAGCCAGGAGATCCTACCCATTAAATAACAGACCTGTGGCAGTGGCTAACTTTGGATGTAATGATCAGCCTTTTGCATGAAATAACTCCTTTAAAAGCACCTTCTACCCACCCCAAACAGCATACTACCAACCAATCTCTCCAGCTTCAAAGGTAAGGTCTGCCCTCAGCAACAGATTCCCAATTAACAGGAAAGCATTAACAAGCTTTGCCTAAGCCTATTAGTGCTGTATTATAATTCTTCCTATAAATAAAACAGTCGAGGCAGATTCCTGGATAAATCAGAGGAAAAGTCTGTCTTAAGCTGATGTGACTCAATTCAGAAAAGGACTAGAAATTAGGTCCAGTTGATGGCTGAGTTGATCCCTAAGCAGGATTCATCTTTGAAATAAAAATCAGTGGAGAAGAGAAAGTTCAGATAATGTAACTCATTGGCAATTTGGAGAGGGGTGGAAGGGGAACTAGTTAAATCCTTATTTCACATATCAAAAGGAAGTTCTGTCCTGGCTGGTGTGACTCAGTTGGCTGGAGCATGGTCGATTCCTGGTCAGGGCACATGTGTAGGTTGCTGGGTTGGTCCCCAGCTGGGGCCCTACGGGAGGCAACCGATTGATGTCTTTCCAGCACACTCATGCATGCTCTCTCTCCCTCTCTCCCTCCGAATTAAAAAAAAAAAAAAGTTCTAGTATGCTTAATGAATTAAATATATTTTCTAAAGAGAATATTTGTTAAACCTCAGGCTAGAAGTATTTCTCAATTTTAAAGCAATAGAAGGAAATGATCAATGGATATGACTGGTTAATAAAACTTCTATGTGTCAAACATTTTTTAAAAAGCAATCCAAACCAGAAAAAGAAATACAACAAACATTTTTAAAAGTCTGAATACCTATAGTATACAATAAGTAGGGCTCATATAGCTAAAGAATATAGAGTCCCAATGATTGAATATAAACAAAACAAACAAGCCACACGCAGAGAAATCAAATAGTAAAAAAATATATGGTGAAAGTTAACCTTGCTGGTATCAGAGAAATAAACATTAAAGCAAAGATAAAAATATAAAGATCATGAGCACTAGTTGGCTCACGCACCACTGGCGTTGCTATGAAATGACAGTGTCCATTTAGAAAGCGTTTTGGCTGTACATCTCAGGTCTGCGTGCTCCGCTATTTTGACTCAGCAGTTCCACTTCTGGGTATCTAGACCAAGAAATACTCCAAAATGGGGAAAAGTTATATGCTGCAAGTTGTACATCATAGCATTATTTATATTGCAGACTTGGCCACAATTTAAATATCCTAGTGTAGGGGTTATACCCAGCTCCTTGTAGCCACCTGGACCACAGCATCACTTCCCATTTCTATGCCTTTGCACACATCTCTCCTGGTCTCTGTCTGAAGCACTCACCGTGCTTTTCATCTGGGAGCTGCCTTTTCTTTCTCCTACACTTTGATCAGCACTTTTCCAGAGTACCTCATTTGTTCCTTCTACACCTCCTACAGTCTTCCATTTCGGCACTTGGAGACTACCTGTAATTACTCGTCTACCTGCCCTTCTCCACCTGGCTTTGACTCCTTCAAGGGTGTGGCCCATCTGTCTGTAATCCTTTTAATCCTCTTAATCACTAGCGCTCTAGTACTGTGGCAGGTGTTTGATAGATATTTATTAAAGGGATGGGTGAATTACTTAAACCTTTTACAGTCATTAAGGATAATGATTATAAACAGTACTATATATGGCACCATATATGGATTTATCTCAAAGTAATGTTAAATGAAAAAAATCAAGAAGCAAAACTATATATCCAGCAGACTAACATTTTGTAAAAACTGTGTGTTGGTAGATAAAAATGAACAATTTATTTACACATATTTCCTTGGTAATGGGTAAGCTATCTAGAGATATGGATGGGAAGAAGACCTTTATTTTTTTTAATATACCCTTTGTTTTCAACTTTTGAACCATGTGCATGAGATAGTCACTTTGAAAAGTAAATCACTGTAAAATCATACAACTATGTTATATGGAGTTCATTCTTGCCAAATAATAACAGTTGTTAGATTGTGTGATTGTGAGTGATTCTGGTTTTATGTTTCTGGTTTCCACTTTTTTAATGTGCTCATCTTGCTTTTATAATCATGACAATAAAATTATAAACAAAGACAAATAAATGAAATAGTCCTCATATTTATTTATCACAACTCCTTCATGGCTCAATAAATTCTGATCTGTTTTAAGGAGACAAGAATGTGAGTACTTTTCTCCCAGGAAACTGTTATGGCTATCTCCTTTATAATTTTCAGATTGAAAAACAGTTAATAGGTTTAATTACTGAAAAGCTAATTAGCCTTGCATCTGACAGTAAGAACAGGTAAAGCATGTTCTAATAGTTGCTAGCTGAACAGCAAGATATGACAACAGCATTTTAACCAAAGACAGCAAATTTAATGAGCTTGTCCGTCTGTCTGTTTCACTCTTCCTGCCCATCTCCTCCCCCCCCCCGCCTCTTTCATTCACCATCTCTCTCTCTTGCTCCTCCAGTCCTCTGTTTTTCCCTTCCTTCTCTGTAGCAAGCTCTACAGGTTGCCTATACACCTCCATTACCTCCTTCCTCTCAGAACCCTGGTGCAGTTCCAGTGCCCACCACTCTTTTAACAGCTCTATGCTTTGGGAAAAGCAGCCCAAAAGTCTGGTTTAGAAATGGGCACTTGGCACAGTTCTGGCTGGTGAGATGAGGAGAATCTGCTAGGGACTTCCTCCCATCTAAGAGATGGTTTCGTTTTGGCCTTGGATGGGATTGTGTTTGGATGTGGCACCTGAATCCTCTACATACCAGGATGGAAGAGTGAGAAATGAAACAAACCTAGGCCTTCTTGACACAGTTACAGGCTGACAAGCCCACCTCAAGACTTCCTGTCGTATGAGACAACTTACTTGGGTAAGGCACTGTGAGAAAGGTTTTCAGTTTCATGCTGCTGACAGTATCCTGGTTTAAACACTCTCCTTCTGTTGTTCTCTCCCAACCCTTTGATTTTCTCATCTTGAAAAACCACCAGTGTTTCCGTGTTTCTCTCAGCACACCTTCTTTTTCTACTTTTCCATCCCCTCTACTCTTTCCCAACTTCTCCTGTCTCTCTTGAACAACAGTACCAGGGGAAACCTTTAGCCCTGTCTGGCCAGAGACGCCCACCCCTTTCTCTCAGACTTCTCAACCACAACGTGCTTCCCCACCTCCAGCCCCATTTCTACTTCATGGTTGACAGGCCTGAGTAGATCCAGGTGGGGCCAGCCGGAGAGTCTGTCTCACTGCAGTTGGCACTCAGTAACCACACAATCCCTGCTTGGGGCTGAAATGGAGGCACCGTTTTTAGGAAAGCTGGGGGCCTGTGTTTCCAGGAGGAGGCCCAAACGCTCACTGTCTCTGCAGAAAGAGGAAGGAAGCATAAACACTGAGAGAAACAGCAGCAGAGTGTGTGACAGCGTGGGCTGCAAACGGTTGTGCATTTTGTGCTCTGAAAGGCTTCCGGCCTTGCCAAAGGCGTTCTGTCTGCCTGTGGATTGCTCCAGGACGTGCCGGTACTTGAGGTTTATGAGATTTTTTTAGATAGAGTTCTTCCATCGTATCCCATGTTAGCTTTAGCTAGTTTGAAGTGGGCAAATCAAAGAACCTTGATGAAAACAATAGGTCATCTACCTCAAGTCGACTTGTCATTTTTTAAATTGGCCATAATATAGCCCTTGCTGGTGTGGCTCAGTTGGTTGGAAAATCATCCCATAAACCAAAAGGTTGCAGGTTTGATTCTCAGTATCTTGTGGACTGAATGATTGAGGGTTCGGTTCCTGGTCAGGGTACATGCCTAGGTCGTAGGTTCAGTCCCTGGTCAAGACACGTGTGGGGAGCAACCAACAAATGTTTGTCTCTCACATTGACGTTCCTCCCTCTTTCCCTTTCTCTCTCTCAAAAAT